ATGAGCAGATAAGTGATATATTTTGGGCTGATGCACAAATGATCATGGACTTTGCTCAGTTCGGTGATGTAGTGACATTTGACACTACTTACAAACTAAATAATGAGCATAGACCTTTTGGATCATTTGTTGGATTTAATCATCATCGAGAAACAATTATATTCGGTGCAGCGTTGATGTATGATGAGACTGCTGAATCTTTTACATGGTTGTTTCAATTTTTTTTGGAGGCAATGTCAAACAAAGCTCCGAAAACTATTTTCACAGATCAAGATGCTGCGATGGCTAAGGCTATTCCAATTGTCATACCCGATACAAACCATCGTCTTTGTACGTGGCATTTGATGCAAAATGCTGTCAAGCATGTAAGTTCTGTTTTCGATGATGTAGGGGTGAAGGGTGTGTTTTCAAAATTTATGCATGACATTGATGATGAAGAAGAATTCCGAATACAGTGGGACCAAATGCTTGATAAGTATGATGCATTCGACAATCATTGGTTGAAGCAGACTTTTCGCGTGAAGGAGAAATGGGGATGGCCATATATTATGAATTCTTGGGCAGCTGGAATGAGTACTACTCAACTTAGTGAATCCTTTAATGCATTTCTGAAGGATTATCTGAACTGTGACCATAATTTGATGGAATTCGTCAAGCATTTTGAGAGGGTGCTTTATGAGAAGAGGTATAAGGAATTGGAAGCGGAGTATAATTTGTCCCAAAAATTGCCGAGGGTTTCGATTCTCTGTGATGTTAAAGCAAGTGGCAGAGATTTACACGAAAACTATTTTTGAGGAATTCCAAAATGAGTATGTGCAGTCCATTGAAGCATCCATTATAGGCACTACTAATGATGGTGAGAGCACCAAATTCACAATAAGAACAATGGTAGATGGGAAAAAAAGATAAGATTGTGACAATGGATAGAGGGGGTTGTTTGAGTTGTAGTTGCAAGAAGTTTGAAGTGAAGGGCATATTACGTCGACATTGTCTCAAGGTGCTTAGAGATATATTCAATGCAACGGAACTTCCTCCACAGTATATACTCAAACGATGGACTAAAAAAGCAAGGGCTGAACGAGTGAAAGATAGATGTGGGTATGAAGTGAAGGCTGAAGTCAAATTACATCAAAGTGACCGATATCGGTCATTAATGACCATGTTTAGAGCAATAGCGAGTAGACCCGCTGAAAGTGAAGAAACTTATCAGTTGTTAGTTTCAAAAGGTGAAGAACTGAGTGTAATGGTTGAAGACAAATTAAGTCTCCACATTTGTGGTCAAGTGGAGGTAACTGATTTGAGAAATTCGCCAAGCAATGCATGCCCACAGAGTGATGAAGTAGATTGTCCAATCCAAGCGAAGGGACTGAAGAAAAGAGAGTCAACTAGTAAGGGAAGAAGGAGGATCAAAGGCGGGATGGAAAAAGCTATTGCAAAGAAGAAAAGGATGCAATCTATTCAGGTTTGGACATGACAAATTGCATACGATTAAAATACAGTAGATTAGTAAACTAAAACATTGATTTTATTTAGTAATGACCCACTTTCATTAAGGTTTTTCGTTGTGTGTAGGGTGGCGCTGATTATACTCCCCAATGTGAATCTCAGCCTCATTTCCGCATGGGTAATAATTCTATTCAGGTAATATTTAATAGTAATGTGGTCTTTATATGGTTAGTTTGATGAGTTCATTTCATTAAGTTCGTTCATTATATGGTTAATTGTTGTTATGTGTAATTGGTTTGCTTCGTAATGTAGTCGGGTGGTACTGTTTACACTTCCCAAGGTGAATCACAACCTCATTTCATCATGGGTGGTAATTCTATTCAGGTATTTAATGGGTGAATCATGGGTGGTAATTTTATTCATGGGTGAATCACAACCTCATTACTGTTTACAATTCCCAAGTTGGGTTGCTTGGCATTTAATTATTTTTATCTGTAATTGGTTTTTCTGGCAATGCAGTCGGGTGATGCTATTTATACTTGCCAAGGTCAATCACAATCGCGTTTCGTCATGGGTGGTAATTCTACTCAGGTAATAGTTTTTTGTGTGCAAGTTTTAAGAAAATGTTAAATAATGACCATGTTTTTTATTCAAATATTTTGTTTACATAGTTTCTATTGGTTGTATTTAGGATCATGGTCTTGGTGTCAATTTTTCTCAATCACAACCTCGTTTTGTCATGGGTATTAATTATAATAAGGTAATATTAATGTTCAATGATGTTTCTTTTGTTTTTAAAATTTTTTGGTTATTAATCTTTTTTTTTTTGTTTTTCGTCATAGGTACTAATTTAGGATCATCGTCATGATATATACATTTCTCCATCTCAACCTCGACCTCAAGTTCTTATAGGTGGTACAAGTGGTCCTCCTCTTACGTATGGTACATATGATGTGAGTTATAATTAGTGACATAGTTTACATTTAAAATGTAGTATACATTGTAATCGAAGTTGAATACATGGTTTGGTGTATTGCAGGGGAATAACACGGCTCAGTCAATGCCTTCTGTGTATCCCACTCATAGATCTTTTCAGGGGTTGCTTCGAGGTACAAGTGTTGAAAACTTTGCAGTCCATTTGTCGCAAGCGTCACATAGTCCTGCAGACAGTCATGTAGATTGACATCCCTGAGAAGTTTATTTTATCTTCATTTGTTTTAGACAGATGTATTTTGTGTTGGACAGATTTATAATGATGTGGATAGATTTTGACAGTTTTCTTTTATTTTGGACAGATTTGGTGTCATGAATGTTGGACAGATTTGGTTGTGCTATTTTCTGTTGCACAGGCTTATAATGTTGTGGACAAATGTTGAATGATATGGACATCCTATGGATAGTTTGCTTTTATTTTGGACAGATTTGGAGTGGTTTATAATGATCTGGTTTTTGGACAGATTTGGACAGGTTTATAATGATTTGCACAGATTTTTTGGTTTTGGACTGATTTTTTGTTTTTGGACAGATTTGGACAGGTTTATAATGATTTGCACAGATTTGGATTTTTTGATTTTGGACTGATTTTTTGGTTTTGGACAGATTTGGAGTGGTTTATAATGATCTGGTTTTTGGACAGATTTGGACAGGTTTATAATGATCTGCACAGATTTTTTGGTTTTGGACTGATTTTTTGGTTTTGGACAATTTTTTTTGGTTTTGGACAGATTTGGACTGGTTTATAATGATCTGGGTTTTGGACAAATTTGGACAAGTTTATAATGATCTGCACAGATTTTTTGGTTTTGGACTGATTTTGGACAGTTTTGGTTGTCTTATTTTGTGTTGCACAGGTTTATAATGTTGTGGACAGATTTTGGAATGATCTGGACAGATTTGGATAGTTTTTTTTGTTTTGGACAGTTTTTTTTTTTTTTGGACAGATTTGGTTTTGGACAGTGTTATTTTGTGTTGTCTGCACAGATGTGGATTCTGGACAGATTTGGATACATGTATACTATTTTGGACAGATTCGGTTATGTTGTGGACATATTTGGTTGTGTTATGTTGTGGACAGATTTGGTGAAGAACAAGTATGACCTGACCAATAACAAGAATATAAAATAATGAAATCTGTCCACAACATTATAAAATAATGAGATCTGTCCACAACATTATAAAATAATGAAGTCGTCAAGCATAGGTAATTTCAGGTAACGTCATTGACAGAAACAAAAAAGTTGGCTGTGAACATAAACAGTTTCATAGCTTCTTGGTTTGCTTTGGCTGTGAACATAAACAGTTTCATAGCTTCTTGGTTTGCTATGGCTGTGAACATAAACAGTTTCATAGCTTCTTGGTTTGCTTTGGCTGTGAACATAAACAGTTTCATAGCTTCTTGGTTTGCTTTGGCTGTGAACATAAACAGTTTCATAGCTTCTTGGTTTGCTTTGGCTGTGAACATAAACAGTTTCATAGCTTCTTGGTTTGCTTTGGCTGTGAACATAAACAGTTTCATAGCTTCTTGGTTTGCTTTGGCTGTGAACATAAACAGTTTCATAGCTTCTTGGTTTGCTTCAACTCGTTCCAATTTATTTATAATTTGATTGAGTTTGTCAACATCATAATCATAGCCTCTCTCATCTTCATTCTGCATATGACTAGCTTTACTTTTCCTTTGGAAATCTGATGCATTCCCAGTCGAAGCCGGTCCCCACCCAAAGAACTCGCACATCCTATTTGGACACTTGAAATAAAGCCTCCCTGGATTTTTCTCTGATTCTGATATGAACACTGCAGCTTTTTTTCCACAATTGCATCTCTGATTTTGCAAATATCCAGCATCAATATTTGAACCCATTGACATTGGCATGATCCTAGTAAGAGCATTTTCCACAATTACAATCAGTCCATTACGACAACATTCAAACAAAGCTGTAAAATAAAGCACTAATCAATGATATAATAACCATTTGTCTAATAAACATTGTCATTTTCATGTTCATGTTAATCCTAGTCATATACATAGTTCATGTTCATGTTCATCCTAGTCATATACATAGTTCATGTTCATGTTCATGTTCATCCTAGTCATATACATAGTTCATGTTCATGTTCATGTTCATCCTAGTCATATACATAGTTCATGTTCATGTTCATGTTCATCCTAGTCATATACATAGTTCATGTTCATGTTCATGTTCATCCTAGTCATATACATAGTTCATGTTCATGTTCATGTTCATCCTAGTCATATACATAGTTCATGTTCATGTTCATCCTAGTCATATACATAGTTCATGTTCATGTTCATCCTAGTCATATACATAGTTCATGTTCATGTTCATCCTAGTCATATACATAGTTCATGTTCATGTTCATCCTAGTCATATACATAGTTCATGTTCATGTTCATCCTAGTCATATACATAGTTCATGTTCATGTTCATCCTAGTCATATACATAGTTCATGTTCATGTTCATCCTAGTCATATACATAGTTCATGTTCATGTTTAGATCATATACATAGTTCATTCTTAGATCATATACATGGTTTTGTTTTATCCGAAGCTAGTCACGGCCTCTATTATAGGCTTAGGCATTTGTGTTAAAATGTTAATTTTTATTTTCTTGGACCCTGATGGAGACAAAAACCATGTTTATAGTACTTCTGACTTGCTTCCTCATCGTTTAGTTATGTGGAGTTAGAGGTGGTGGGAATGCTGCAGCTCAAGCATCATTTTGGCAAGCAAAAGTAGGGCTTTCTTTTATATTGGCATTCGAGTCAGAGAGGGAAAGGAATGCAGCCATCATGCTTGCCAGGAGGTTTGCATTTGATTGCAATGTGAGTCAAGTTTCTATTATATGATTTACATGGAATAATTGTCTATAATTTACTCATCTATGCTTTGAGTCACCGAAATAGCCTCCCCGGAAATCATGTAATTATTTATAAAATGACAGATCATGCTTGCCGGACCAGATGACAGAGCTCCTCCAGAAACATGACAAATCTATGCTCTACTCTCCTCTTATGTGTCAATGTTTTCTTGAAAATTCACACCTATACACTTTCTGTGACCTCAAGGTCTAAAATGCCGGCCATAACCCCAGCTGCCAATAAATTAGGCTCAATATGACTATGGTTAACCCATTTCTTGTGCAGCATAGACATAGCAAACATGTGGAGGTGCCTATCATAATGATATGTGTCAATGTTTTGTCCGGAAATGATAAACCATCGAGTCATACCACCAAGTCATTCCATATGGTCATATAAGGTCCATATACATGGTATGACTCACTGGTATCTCTAGCATCACAGTTTTTTCTTCCACACGCTTGTGTGAGGTTTGATTCAAGTTACCCTTTAATCCATGTTCCTTCTGCATTTGCTATCACTACACTACCCCACTAATAATACACTGTCAAGCTCTGTTTTTGGATCTTGGATGTTTTGGATGTTTGGTTCAGTTTTCAGATTTTTTTAAAATTTTTTTTTCAAAAATACCAAAACTAAACAAGGCAGTCCTATTTGAATCATGTCACTATTTGATCTATATTGTTCTTGTGCCTCATTCTGTTGCCATATAAAAGGAAAAAAATTTGAATCATGTCTCTCTTAGATCAAACAGGGCAGTCCTGGAATCACTAGAAGGTGTTCCTGATATGAGCAGATTTCAGGGATCATAATGGAGCACATTAAACCAGAGAAGAGTATTATTCTGAATGTTTTATCTACAACAGTTGATTTCCAACATGCGAGTTGATAAGGAAATAAATGAATTCAAAGACTCAAAGACTCAAAAATGAATTCCTCAATGATTCTGTGTCAAAAGTGTCAAATAAAAGGAAAAAAAAATCTTTTTTAATAGAAATGTGGAACCCAGATTAACACAAATCTAATTTCAGAAAAATTCATTTTGAATCATAAAAATTCATTTTGAATCATACATTTTGAACCCAGATTAACACGCATAAAAAAAAAGGGAAAAAATTCATTTTCAACCCAGATTAACACACAGAAAAATTCATTTTCAATCATGTCTCTATTTGATCTAATTACATCAAATGGTGAACATTGAACACATTAACACAAACATTGGGAATAATTTCGGAATAACACCAAATCAAAAAAAAAATTGCAAAAATTTAACAAAAATCACACCAAATCTGTTTCAACAACAAATCCATCAAACTCAACATAAATCAAAAGCATCTATTGGCAACAAAATCATATAAAAAAAAGTAATAAAAGACGAAGGGAGAAAAATGATCCTGAAGACGAACGGACCTCGTCGCTGTCGTTTCGCCGTTGTCGCCGTCGTTTCCCCTCACCTCACCGCTGCCTCTCCTCTCCTCTCCTCGTCGTTTCGCCTCTACTCTCAATTCATCTGAGTTTTGAAGCAACACTAGGGTTCTAAACAGTTCTGAAGCAACGTAAAAGAAACGAGGAAAAAAAAAAATTATACAAAACAATGTCATTTTGTATAGCACTGTAGGAATGTATGGCAGGAATATATGGCAGAAGATCCGGACTCCATGCTAACTGGGTAGCTTGTCAGTCTTTGACTCTGATTTCTTTACTTACTCATGATGTACATGTCCTATCTTCTTGATTTATACCTCTAATATTTGTTTAAAAAAAAAAAAAAATTCTTTACTTACTCATGATGTACATGTCCTATCTTCTTGAATCTTGATTTATACATCTAATATTTGTTATAAAAAAAAAATCAATATGTTTGATTTGAGTTTTTTGAATTCAATCATTTAAAAATTTATTTTTTTATTTTTCTCATTTTTTATTTTTAGTGAATATTTTTTAAATTTTAAATATTTTTTTTTTTACTTTTTTAGATGCACCTTATTTAGACCTTGTTTGGGATGCTCTAAAAAAATTAAAAAAATCAAAAAGTCACTATCTTATTTAAGTCATATCATCTTATTTAAGTTACATCACCTCTCTACCACATCACTTCAAATCTAACTCATACCGAACCCATATTTCACAAAAATTCAAAAAATACACTTATTTAGATCATCCCAAACCACCCCTTAAATGTATCTAAATAATAAAATATTTGTGAAAAAATATTTTAAAAAAATTAATAAATACACAAAAATACAAAAAAATGTACTAAACACAAAAATACAAAAAAAAAATACTGAATTTTTATATTTTTTATATTTTTAGTATTTAGTGAATTTCTTAAAGATTTTTTTCACAAATATTATACTTTTTAAGTATATTTATGTTAAATGTGTCTACAAATTTAAAAAAATTGCTTAAAATATTTAAAAAATTCAGTAAAAATAAAAAAAAATGAAAAATAAAAAAAATAAAATTTTCTAAAAAATGAATTTTAAAATTAAAACCAAACAAAGTGAATGTCTTTTGCTATTTCTTAGGTAAAATTGTTACTTTATATACTATTTTTGAAATATGACATTTCAATGAAAGTATCTGTTGGTGATAATTACAAATAACACACCAGAAAATACAAATAATAAAATTACAATAACTTATTATCAGAGCTGAGGCGCGGGAAACTCGCTCTCTTTAAGGAGATTCAAGCCCTCTGCGGTTAGGCAAAGTCTCACACCGGTGCAGCAGAAAAACCTTGACTTGTCCCCCCCAGGATACAACAGCCCGACTAAGTCATATGGTTCACCAATACTGCACAATTGGTTGAACCCAAAGCTTTATCACACACACCCTTTTTATTTGCCTGATAATCTCACACTAGACATAACAAAGGAACAAAGCTTCTAATGAACGAACACTTCTTCTCTCGTGTGTCTCCTAAGATAGGACACAAGTTAATATATATAGAAATAAAAAACTTAGTAGATAAGTTAACAAAGACTAGACCAAGACCAAAACCAAAGACTAGACCAAGACCAAGGACTAGATAAGATTGGTGGACCTAATGAGACTTTGGATTGCTTAACTTCTAAGTCTTGGAATGGATAGGAGAGAAGACTAGAAGAAGACTAGAATGGAAACCAATAACACATGATAATATTAAAATACCTGCTAACATTCCCCCACCTATTTTAATATTATAGGTAACAAAAATGAGATTATTAGGCAAATAAGGATATTATGCATCATGGTAGGTGTGCTCTGCATTGAACCTCCATTAGTGAAACAATAATATTTACTCCAGAGCCAATAGTATGCTCAGCATTGAACTATAACTACTTAAGGGAAATAAATAATTATTGCACACACATAATAGTCCAGGTGTTCACAAAAGCTTTAAAAGCTAGCACATTACGGCCTTGTACGATCCCAGGATTCATGAGTGTATCTGAGAATTAGCCCAAATCTCATAGGTAGCGGCCCCACTGCCACACTCACATAGGTGAATTCTGTCAGGAGTGCTCCTGTAACTATGACACCCCACTCAATAAGAGCTACAGAAATTCATTAAGAGTTTTTTTAATAACTCAACCTCTACAACGTTACAGGATAAATGCACTTACATCATAGGGATGGGTAAAAAGTAATTTGGTGCATTTCTCACGGCCATCATATGATCGTTTTTCTCATTGAACCCAGTTACAGGATCTCTGGTCCCTAGGTTGAGTATCCTTATACATGGCTCCTGCTATATTCAATGGGTTTCAACCCCATCTCCCTCGATGTATTCCAGACTTTATCTCTTGCTAAGGCCTTAGTTAATGGATCTGCAAGATTATCACCAGATTTAATATAATCCACATTTATAATGCCATTATTCATATAAGATCTCACAGTACTGTGTTTTCTTCTGATAGGTCTGGATTTACCGTTATAATAACGGTTATTAACAATTGATTTGATGTTTTGCTCTTAGTTTTTTTTTTTTTCATTTCCTTCACTACCAGCTCTAATGAGCTGGCTTAGTACTCTCTTTTTAGTGATATGTATCACCACTGATAAGAGTAGTGACATTATGTTATACTAGGGAGTGTTTTGGGAAGTTGGTAAAAAGCTGACTTTTTGACTTTTTGACTTTTTTGGTGATTTTTTTGGCAAAAAGCTGGCTTCTTTTGAATAAAAAAGCTAACTTTTTTGACTAAAAAAGCTAAAAAGTCAAAAAGCTGGCTTTTTTCTATTGTTCCCAAAAGACCCCTGAAATGGGAAGACGCAGGTAGTATTCTGGCAAGCCTGTCTTGTTGTCTCATGTGGTGAATCAAAAAACTTGTTGGATTTAAATTTGGGGGAATTTCAGCACCCGTTAAACAATACATAAATTTACAAAAATATATGATGTGCAAGTGATTCTGTAATGGGGTACAAATAAATGAAATTGGGAGCATTGACATACAAAATTCAGACAATTCATGGGGTTCGAATTAGTCTTGTTGAGGATTGGCAATCGATTATCACTATCAAAACTCTTCAATTTGGACTAATAAACATGGGAAATTTAGCCAAAATCCCTTAATTGGATCCTTATTTAGTGAAAAAGA